GACCGATAGCTGGTGACTATAATAGTACCATAACCGGCGACCTTAAACCTTCAATAAAAATGTCAGCGAAACATGAGCGCGAGCATTGACGTAATACATACGATCGATCAAAAGAGCATAAAGCTCTGCTGCTTGAAACAACAGACAAAAGGATAAATAAGCTGTAGAACGAGAGAAGAAAGTTTCTGTCTTAAAGCATGTAGAGCGATGATTACTTATTGAATTGAGCGCTGCGACGAAGACAATTGTCATTTAAAAAACTCATAGATGCTGTCAACAATGAAAAAACCGTAAGTCTAAGGACCGCATCTATTGCCTGCCTGACATCTTCACCGGCATCAACAACGTGATGTATATGCATCGTATCACTCGCTTCGCTATGTCATTTTCGAAGAGCTGATACAAAAACACAAGATATTTACGCTATTTGGTCAGATCGAACTCTAAACAATGTGTTCAACGCCTAGATCGAGCTAAAAAACACATTATTTACTTTTTTTAGCCTGATCGAGCACCACTCGATTCGATACCTTCTTTATTCGTCGACAAGTAGCTCGCATACGACTCTGCCAGGTTCTCCTCAGGGGGGTCCGTATGCTTAAGTAGTTGCGATATAAATTCAGGCTTCATTTTGCGATCTTTCCAAAACGAGAAAATACCATTCTTGATGTGGTTTATTTCCTCTTGTTGCAAGGTTGGTATTTTAGGTATGTCGATGATTTTCTGAGCCTTGATCACGCTCAGAAGAACAAAATACTCATACGAAACTCTATTCATCACTTCTTCAACCTGCGCCAAGTTCATCGTCCCATGCATGATTCGCTTGACCATCGTATCCATTTCTTCATCCGACTCCCTTAGGATGGGGTCTATGTTTTCGCTCCATTGTTTGATGGACCCTAAGACTTTATCCGAAATCCCAGCCACCTGAAACTTGGCTGAAATCTCGTTGCTAAGGGCGGGAAATCCGAAATGACCATCCAGTAACGTCTCCGCTTCTGATACTAAGGTCAATGCGTCCAAACCAAAATTTGGGTTGACCCTTTCTTCATCTTGAAGTGTTTCTTTTTGTGATTTGGATGTCGCAAGTATGTGCCCTCTCAAGCGGCGGGTGGCCGCAATCTTGACGCGATAAAACTCATTGTCGCGATTCTTTGCAGGTATGGCGGAGATGGCTTTCGAGACGACGTTAATGTTGATAGCTACGACAGCATCAAGGAGCACCAAAGCGATGACACAGCAAACAACTGCATGCATGGCTGTCAAAAACGTTTAGTAGTCGGTGGCTAGCGGAGTGAATTGAGAAATGAGCTGATTGAGCCTTCAGCACAAAGCATTTCAAAGTCGTGCTATCATTTAAAGTCACAGATTGATATGTCAAGGAACGCAGAATATTAAAACGACGTCCGTTCTCAGCTGATGCTGCATACTACCGAGAGGCATGTTCCTGGATGTGAAAAAGCTGATTCTTTTACATAATATTATTTATATACAATCACGAATTTGGCTACAGTAACATGCCACTTAATAGTTTTGATGAAAGTATTTTGTTGTGGTGGCTTCCGATTCGTGGTGTTATCAGATTAATGGACACTCTTTGTGAATCGCCGTTTCTTCTATGATGTCGACAGTTCTGGCAGAAGCGACACATGACGAGTGTGATATTTGTCGAAATTGTGTGAGGCGTGTATTTAGAAGGGTTTTTACATGTTGTGCATGAAAGCATTATGATCTTCTACAAACAATTGTGTTCACGTTGTCCGTATGGAGTGAAGAAACATGAGGTTATATGCATAATGCCCTCTATGCCAAGGATGCTTTTCTCTACATGTAGGTATTTGGAAGTCTGGACTTGATAACATGGAAACGATACACAAAATTTTCGACAAATCTTACAGGATTGGACCGCAATCCGCAATGGGCAAAATGATATAAATCAGGATCGAAGAGGCGGTTTTCAGACCCTCGCACAAAGAAATGCAATGACGCTTTAAATTTTTACCGGCAGTTGCCGGGTTGGCTACAGGATTCGCGCTACTGAAGGAATCGTCCGCGTACATCCTCCAACAGCCAATAATTCTTGCGTAGTTCCAATCTGTGACGTAGTGGAAGCTCCTTCACCTCCCAAAACAAGTAAAATGCGAAAATAAAGTTAAATCGATCGCCATTCATCGTGCATACTAGCTCGGCACTTTGAAGCATAAACTCGAGGGCGCTAGATTGCTCGCGGTGACTTCTTTTCGCAGAAGTAAATTAGTGGCGATTCGTTCCAACAAGACTTTGTCACCCAATCGCGTAACTCTCGCTAGCGAAGTAAAGGTATCGCTGCCTTTTTAAGGAATGTGCCTGCGCTTTCCATGCTCTAGGTCTCTCGATGAACCACAATATGTTCAAATTGCGGAACATTGAGCACGTCAAACATGGTCGCGTTTATTTAAGAAAATGATGAGTAGTCAATTCAGGACTTAAACACTGCGATACCTCTATTGTTGACCTCGTCGTCACTCTGTGGCGTAAGGCAATAGTGAACGTAAGTATTGTCGTGAGAGGAGAGCAGGACCATAAACTCACAGACCTAGGTCTATACATCCTGAGCACAACAGAAATGATGCTGCCGCGATGTATTTGCACAGCTTAGTGAGCGTGGTTTTACATCTTTCTTGGAGACGTTTAGCACTAAAATGGGCAATTTCTCGCGGAGAATGGTATTGATCTATTGAAAAATAGGGGTTCAAGATTTATCATTGCCAAACTCTTTAAGCTGCAAAAGGAATATATCATTTGAAGCATTTTCTTTAACTTTTGGAATACGATTTGCCACCATCTTTCTGAATTCATCGAAAAGCACAGATAATTTCACATATAATAGGCGTAAGAAAATACTTTCTGCTTTGTTTCGAGCTACAATGACCCGAAACAGCAATCGACAAAGATAAGACTTTATATCTGTCCTCCCAGTGTTGATTACATTGCAGTCCTCAAAAAGGGTTGATCGAAAGCAATGTAATATCTCGCACGATATATTGTTGAGCGTTATCGTGTCATACCGTGATAAATACGCGACTATAGTGCACTTAAGCTTCGCTTGCTTAAAAAAGCTTTTAATTGGTGGAGCTACAAGAATGTAAGGACAATGACCTAATTGCGGGTAGTCAAAATTGGAGCTCATTATTGAATCTTAATCTTTCAAATTAAAATTCCGATAAGAAAACTTAAAATGTTCGCAAATCTTACTCTCTAAAAATGTTCCCGTGCAACCAAGAAAGCAATGGGGAAAGTTTACAAGTGTTATTGAGCTGAAACATGGTATCGAAGGTTTTGCATTTGCTTAGCTCGAGTTGTGCAGGGTATAATACTTTCAAGGAAATCAAGTAAGCTGCTTGTACTGTTTCAACACCAGGTAGTATCGCTGTATAACTTAGTCGAGGGTGGACGACTAGCATCATTGATAGAATAGAAGTTAAGCTAGCCTAGTAATAAGGCTCGTATTTGATGGAGAAATAGTATGTTTTCGAGCGGCCCTTAAATAAAAGATATTTGTCAGCCAACGTGTGTCAGTGTTCGTCAAGAGATCTGTTAGCCGTAATATGTGCTGTTAAGGGCTCACAGCTAAGCACTCTAATCGAAAAAAGGTTCTTGCCCTCACCAGAAGTGAGGACTTTTGCGACTGCCCCGCATAGATAATTTTCTGGTAACGACGCCGAGGTATTCGTTGATTAGAGCGATCTCAGTGTCTTCTGGTGTCGATCTAAAAACCCGTCCTGACTTAGCGATACATGGAATTGATGTTACCTTGGAAGAGGCGCTTACCGCGTTTAGCCTTTTACCGCTTCACGGGGATAAAACCTCGTTTCCTTTTTTAAGTGACAGGAAGTATTCTGACACCCCACCACGGAATCCACGGCGATTTTCAGCTCTTTACAAAGAATAAGACCTAGCTCTAGCAAACAAGGTTGCCCTATTGCAAGCGAAAGAGTCACATCAACTATTGCCAACAACACGCTGAGATTATGATTTGAAAAGTCTTAAATCGCTGGCCGCTCGGGTTCAAAAAGCATTTGCGTCAACTTCAGCGAAGCGCACGTCTGCCTATATTTTCGTCTCATGCTTGACATACGATATTCAAAGTACGGCGCGGGCATTTAAGTGACAGCCCATCACCTCAAAATTCCAACTGTTTATAGTCCCGCTTTTCTAAATGAGACAGCTGTATCAAATATCAATAAATGGTCTAAACCAGTGCAAATTTTGCCGCCTATTGCTACGAGGAAGCGTAACGTGATCTTTTTAGAAGAAGATAAAGACCAAACGTATGGCAGGTCGTTACGCGCCACGGCATCAAAGCAAGTATAACCACAAACTACCACGCGATTTTGTATGAGGTTGACACCTTTATTTTACGAGGTTTTGACATCAGGTAGTGCAGTCCCCGGCCCGCCGAATGATTTACAAAAAAGCGGGCCGTTTTGTGTTCTCCGTGCAGTGCTGGAGGTGATCGACCCCACCACGGCTTGCTTTTATGGGTCTGCTCGATTATGGTGGCCTGTCTACTCTCTCGGAATGTGGGTGTGTATCCGAGGCTAAAACGAACCAGATCTCGAATTTGCTCGCTAAGCTTTGCCATTGTATAATGTGCCATAAGACAACCCAAGATGCCTAGAATTGTATCGCTGTGCCGGAGATTATGGTAGCTTGGCATGACAGGGTGATATAGACGCTGCTCCGTCTGCTGCAGAACTCTTATCATCTGAGTAATTCGTAAGAGTGGCATTCGTAGTATGGCTTTTATAAGCTTATCTGAAACACAGGATGTTTTAACATTCTATTTGAGATGTCAAGTGTATAATTGAATGCTTTATTCGCTTTGACCGTGACAAGTCCAGTGTAGCCCAATCATAACTGATCATTATGAACCGCAGACTCCACATGTGTTGGTGGGTTAGTTGTAATTTTGCTCTACACCACGTTCATATGTATTTCTCCTGCCTTAAGCATCGGTGTATTCCTCAGCCGTATTGTCACGCACCCTTCGCACGACGCTCAATCTCATTACGACAGAATTGCTGGCTTTACTACAAGGTGTAGCCAGGCTGATATCCGCAGATTGACATTGATCAACAGCCACATCCATAAAGACCGCAATCACGGTGTCAAAACCACTCGGAGGTTTACCAAAATCATTCATGTGAAACTAAGTATGGCTTTTAGAGACATGTACTGCGTTATTCTACGCAATAACAAAAGTGGAATGAATTCGCTTCAGTACAGAGGTCTTTTTGCACAAGTGCTTCGGAAATGCACAAGTGCTTCGGAAATACCCTATACAACGGAGAGCAAGCATTTCCCTGTATGATCTGCGGCTATAAATCCAATCTAATTTCAGGCTCCATGAACAATAGTTGTCAAAGATTTTTAAAAGACGCAAATCTCCATCAGATACCATGGCTTCCGGTACGCTTTTCGGCAAGCTGCTTTGTCAATAAAACAGCTTAAATGTACCGCCACCGGTGGGATTATCGCTGCTAGCAGCGATATGACCCATCTTACTCGGACATCCCACAAAGCTCATAGTACCGGTAATACCAGAAGCTTTTTGAAAGAGATCGAAATGTAGTTCATATTAGTGAACTACAAGTATTTACCGGAATGAATTGCTTTACTGTCTATGTACGCAAGACTTTTTGACACGTTCCACACGTGCGCACACATGTGTTTACCCACTTGTACATGTATACTTTAAGCTCACTAGCAGTACCACGTTTCTTTACCAAAATGACCATTTGTACCGGTATTACGTGTGTCGTACATCAAACTGTAATTTAACTATCATCAGAGTCGCCAAACATGGCGGGAGTCATGTCACTCAATGCTAAAGCTTGGCACGCCTTTGGAGAAGGTATAGCGTTGCAGGCGTGCGCTTCAATAAAGCGACATCTTAGTGCTCGGATACGTCGCTTCTCAGAATTAGCAGTGCAACATATTATGTGTCGGATCCTCAACCTGAACGGATAACCTTACCAATTAGCGACGTCACTGTTGTAACATGCTAGAATTGCAATCACATGCTCCACTCAAGCCGACCCAGCCCTTACCTTTTCTCAAAGGTGTACTCGGCGATGGATAATGACTATCTCACTATTTTCTTTTCGATATGTTGTGAAGCCGTCGCTATACATGACACCGCATGAATTACATGGATCACAAACGGCATGGAGCTAAGAAACTGCACCATAACATTAACAAAAATATGATTTTTTGCTAATAGCTCCCGATCATTAACGAGATTCTACTTTCAAAAATCTAATCCCAATCGTGATAACGTGTTATAGCGCATTTGTACTTGCTTTAAACAAAGCGCTAAAGCAGAACAGACGACGAGGAATCGTTGAAAGAAGAGCCAGGGTTGAAAAACATATTTGATACTCTTTCTCACTGCCTCAAAGCACCGCACCCCAATACCATTTCATCTTCTTGAAAGTAGATTGGTGTGCTTCGTGCTTTGTTGGGAAGAATTTGCACTGTACACGGCTGGTCGACTCGGCCAGCCGAGAAACCGTTCTTACCCTGGTCAATCAAGAATTGCTTTTGTCTTCGAGCAATCCGCCCACAGTCCACGATTCCCAATGATATAATTACAATATTGGGATTTTGTCGACGCCAAATATCACTTCCCTTCATTGGCAATTATATCGAAATGCATAAACTCAAGCCGCGCTTGCAAGTGCTCCATAAGATTCATGCTATCATCATATTGTGCCTTGCACGACCATGGACTGATTTATAGTCGAAAGAGCTTTGTGCTGAACAAAGGTGTAGTCTGGATGCTGGCATCAGAAGATTAAACGCCACTGGCAAATCAGACAATTCTTGTGTCATAATAGCCATCACGGGGGTATTTCGCTCGAGTACATACCACAGTGAGATGGAATCGCTGTCACAAATCAGCAGCTGATGACAACTCTCCACTCAGTTGAAGTCGGTTTACTAAGATCACTCGACCATGCTCTCAGCAACACATTGATTTTAAAAAGCGTATTTGCGCTGAACACTAGGCTACATTAAGTTTATTATAAGTATGAACAAATCGTCACTTAATGTTTGCCTTTCTAGCGCACGAAAATGAATAAGAAGAATTAATGCCTTTCACCAATTTTGCTATGGACTTTGCACGGCAGAAAGCGTCAGTGACGTTCCATTGTTCTTTCAATTCGGACAATTGTCGTGCAATGTGACGACGCCCAACGTGTTGAGTCTCTCGTAACCACGTCATACTATCTCTCAGAAAAGATTTGAAAAGTCTCTCAAGATAGCAGTTCTACTTTCTGCACTCGGTGCTCAGTAAGCGCTCAAAAAATCCAGCTCCTTTTTCGTTATGAGCAGTGTTGGTGACTTCCGGTTATAAAATGATTGCTCACATCTCTTAGGGGAATTTTTCCGGCTACCGAAAACTTCCGCAGCATTGAGAGAAGTCTAACATCCTCTAAGACTAGTTTGGTCATTCGACTCACGAGAAATTAGTTGGTCTCGTCACGAGCCGTGAATATTTGCTGCTCCACGCGTTGGGCGCGCCACAAACGGTAGTGCTGATTTAGCAGTAACTTTACATCATGACATAATTATAATTAATTTCTAGCTTCAGAGACTGACCCTTGTGATTGGAACTTACAGTCTCCCAAATCCATGGGCTCAAGCACAGAAGATTGCGACTCTCAGTCGCTTGCACAATCTACAAATCTAACGCAGGAGACAACTGCTCAATCTGTTATTAACGTTCTCCTTAATACACATTTTGGGAGCCGGCATATGTAGTTGTCCTTTTTCGTCTTAACATAGATATGACCGACTCATTGCCTCTTTTGCCTTTCGAGAGCAGCGCGAGGCATCTAACAATACAATATTACACGATCTTAAATCCCTTGTCCTGCACGAAACGTTTTGTAGTTTTGTGTTTTATGAAAAAGCTTTTGGCTTACTAAAAGGGATAAGTTTATGCCTTGTCATTGCTCTTCCAGGAGATATATGAGGATATCATGCCGCCTGATTCTAGGCCATAAACTGCGAAAACGCTCCGCACTGTTAGAGCCCACATAATAAAATTGAAATTTTATGAATTCTCCAACCCGTTACCAGTGATCTTGTCGCCAAGCGCAGAGATTTTGTAATCGTTTCTGTTAAATCAATACCTTCGTATACTGCCTAATCCGTTCGCATGTCGCACATAATTGCACGTGGTCTGAATTTTTAAGAACGTAATACGGCTTCTAGAAGCTAAAAATGTCGATAACAGTCGCAAAGACCCTGCTGTGAGCCAAATCTCTTTAAGCAAAAGTCGCTATTTAGAGTGCTGGGTCCCTTTGGCTACGCCCCCCCATGAGGTACAATGCTATAGAAATCACCCCCAGCTGGAACAAGTGCTGACATTTCTCTTAAAAAACATCATCAGCTCTTGCGTGGGAGTAATATGCATGGTACTTCTCAGCCGATATCGAATGGGACATGCAAGTCGCAGATTTCAGGTACTATTAAGGTTAACATTTTGCCGGCAATGCCCGTGGAGCGAATTAGTAGCTTAAAAGTATATCGCTTACATTTGAGCATGATTGAAGTTCATCGCCTCTGGTGTGCTCGTAGATCTTACATTCCTAGCGCGCCCTTTTGTTGTCGCGGTCCAAAAGTTGTACTTTTGATTTTTGCGACGACCGCCGCGCTCACGAAATAGACAGATCAGATTGACCCGGATGGCCTCATTTCGAGTCGCATTCATTAGGAGCCTATTCATGAAGATGTTCATCGTTGTTGCACCCGGGTTGGGATCAAAGTCATAGCAATAATTGAAGTTCTTGATCCATGGGGGGAGTGCGCAAATTCTCGCCTTCTTTGAGGGATCAGGATGATTTTGTGCGCTTCCAATAGGATTGGTAGGACGGTGCAAATATGCTGCTTCTAATTCATCGTGTTAAGAGCTTCTTCTTCCCACAATACTGCACGTAGCTTTTCATTGTCGCGCGCAACCTTTTAACATTGAAATCGCAAGCCTAACGTGCTGGTGCCCCGTTTTGAGAACGGCTGGAAGCATGACCATCTTACTTTCATTCATCAAAAGGGAGAGATTGTAATAATCTCAGAGACAGGAATGATTTAAATCAACATCCTTCAAGGCGGCACTGGATGTTATTCACTGTCATATCATCAAGCTGGTTCGCACCGCCAGCGATGGATGCGCATCCGCAAGGCCACGCTTAGCCAAACCTTGAAAGGTCCGATAAACCGTGTACCGAGCATCGTCTTACAGACAGGAGAAATGCATGAGTAAGAAGGTTTTTAGCATTTAATAAGACCAGGTCTCCGACCTTGAAGTTTCTGACAGTCCCTCTTCCTCATCCGTCTACATATTCTTTTTGCCTGTCTTGGGTTTCAGCGATCGTATCGCGAACGTGTCGTAAGTCACTTAGTCTGGTAGACATGAAGTCATTGACTGTATTACGCACAGCAAGCGGAGGCTGACATCAGCAATCCGCTCAGCTATTCCTGTGCAACAAATCGAATCTCAGCACGGGTCTTGGATGCAAATATCATATCGTCTACAAACAGACAGCCGATATGAAGACATATTCGAAACGGACTAAATACACGCACTAATCTGCACCACAGCCGTCGAAACCTTTCTTTTAATGACTCCGGGTATAGTATTGTTATAGACGCATGCTGCATGCTTTAACCCACAGATTACCTTTTTTAGTAAACGTACGTGATTTCCAGCGTTCTAAATGTCGGACTGGTATCTCCATGTATACACGGCCCTTTAGCTCGCGGTTTAGAAATGCTGTATCTGCATCTCATTACTCAATAATTTCTGCGACTCATACCGCCAATAGAACGCGAATCGAGCTTATATTCGCCACGAGGTACATATCAGAGAATCCAACTTCTGCTTAAAACGCTTAGCCATCCACACTGCCTTCAAGCGTATAATCCAACCACTCTCGTTAGACTTTTTGGCTAAAACCCACCGAAGCCCAATCGAATGAGCCGTTCTAGCATATATGCGAGTAAGTACCATATTTTCGTGTTATAGCAGTTAAGCCATCAGTGCTGTCCGCCATGCCAATGCCTCATTGCTTGTGACTGCCCCGGCGTACGGGAGTGTCAGGCGCACCGTCGATCCATACTGTATATGCTAATACTGCGTCAGCAAGTAATCCATTTCCATCGTTTCTTTAACGCTTTGGAGATGGTGTACCGTTTGTTTTTTCTGACCTTTATTCATCACCCACTCCGAAGCCATCTAGTAGAGATACTGTCTCGCGAGATCGCCTTGAATGTTCTATCCGCAGACGAAACACCAAACGATTCTCCTTGGACGGTCGCAGGGCATCGTAATCTGCCAGTTCATGTGCAGTCGGCGTCTCATCTTCCCGTGCCAGAGGCAGTTGCACACGTGTATTTAGCTTCAACTCAACCTCATCCATCGTATTATCGTTTACGGATTCTTCGACGATCTGAATGGATTCGATCGACAACGGACGTTGGTTTACCAGAATCGGGGCTACTGCCGCATCCATCTCTTTTATATCATATGTGAGCGATTCTTGTCCTGGGTACAGTGTATCGTGTATACCGTCCACTTCACGCTCGTCAAGCCTAACCAATCTTGCTACCTTGGCATTAGACACTTTCACGTCGTAGATACGGTATCCCTTTAAGTTTTCTGTGTAAACGAAAATCACACAGTTAAATTTGTTGGGATAAAGCTTCGTCCTTGTTGCGTTGTCGTCGTGAGAGCACCCTGAGGGGAAAAACAAACGCATATGCTCCGTTTGCGGCTTCACCACAAAATCTACCTCATATGCCGTGGTTCTCGATCGCTCAATAATTACAGACCGATTGATTAGATACACTGCGGCGCTGCACAGCTTCTGCCTACTGTGGCGTTTACACGTCCTTGTATCGCTACATGCATTGAGCCTTCTCCATGGTCGTATGGTTTATTCGTTCAGCCACTCCGTGATCTGAAGTTTTGACCGATATAGTTTGCCGAGTATGATGCTTGCCGAGTGAATCTGTCTTTTAACGATTTTGGTAGTGGAGACACATGATTTATTCTCACTGTTGGTTCTTGTAAAATGTGCCTTGAACTCGACACGCTAAGTGGCAACTTCGGTCTTGTTCTTTATGAAGTACGCAACCACGTCACGTTAGAAATTATCCAAAACAGCCATTTCGCAACGTACTCCTCCTTTTGTAACCGTTCGCATTGGCCCCATCACATCGGTGTGAGCTGACTTTCGCACGCGTGATGTTTTGTGCAGGGATGCTGACGTAGCTCTTTGCTTAGAGAAAGCTAAGCGAAGGTCTCCAACATTACGTCCTTTCCAAGAACCAGTACGAGTAACGGATTGCAATCCGATACTTTCAAATACCAAATCCTTAATCAAGTCATACAAACAATTATGTTCGAAATCGAAAAATTATGCCTGATTTTTTTAGTTGCGGCAACGTCTCCAATATCTGAAACCATAGGTTTCCTGATTAATATAGCAAAAACTAATCTGCCACGTGGTGGCATCTTGTTACGGTGTAGCCAAACCACTGTGTGATTACAATAACTTGTGAATCCACACCTATCTATGGTCGCACCATCTTGTCAAATAAAAGTACGTGCAACGCCGTTACCCTCTCCGTCATATCCTCAATTCACATTTAACGGTCGCCTCATACGACGCTCGCGTGTCTGAGATAACTTCACGATCCTAGAACAACTTTAAACATTTTTCGCTTCATGAGCCTTGTGTCTTCGACTCACAAAACACCCTATCTAGCTGGTACCGAGAGCGCCCGTGCGCTAAGCCCTTCTTCTTCTACACAGAGTGCATCTGCGGACACTATGTCCGCTGCTTCATAAGAAGCATATCCAAAGCCCTCGGCAACTGAGCGCAACACACCGCGCCCGCTTTGGGCGACAGATTTCCTCATCGAGGAGTTGGCGGGAGTCGACTAATGTTGGACACTACTTTCCCAGCATGGGATGCGAGGAGGATGAAGCGCGCCAACGGCGCGACGTAAGCCCAGCCCAGACTTTGCGAACACCATGTCCGTTCCCGACCTCTCATCTACCGGAGAATCGGTATCATTGCCAATGACCTCGACGAGGCACAGAATCAGCAAATTGAGGCTACTCATAGGACGGCTCTCCTGCACTCGTTTTTACGTTCGGTCTTAGACATTCGCGTGGAATACGGCTTCTGCTCGGTGGGTCCGACTACTGAAGCAAAAGACGCGATCGCTCGATCGTTAGGCGTCTACGTAGTCGGGGCCCTGGACACAACATAAGCTGAGCTTGATCAGCGAAAAGTTCTGTGATCTCGCTCGTTGGTACCATAAATATTCCAATGGATCGGTACCGCGCTCGATTTCGAGCTCAAAATGGTGGCGTTTCTGTACCCGCAATGCGGACCATCCCTGTCGTGCTCACCCCTGACAAAACCGCCGCCGATAGCGACGAGCTCCCCGAGCGATGGGTGCAACAGCACCGAAAACTTTTTTCTCTGTATACCTTACAGCAAAGCCACAAGGAGCTGGACGTGCGCGTTGAGCACCATCTTTAAGTTGAAATTGCCAAACTCAAGGCCCAATGCTGACTTTCTACGTATTGTCGACCGCTTACATATGGAACAATTCATAACGCTCCCGCGAGCTTTATGAGCTCGCACACGGGTGAGTCTGTGACCACAACAGCTCAGTGCAGTAGCTTGAGCTCAGCTCATTGCCCTCCGGCTTTCTTGGCAGCTGCAGAGAAGCATGGTACGCGCGACGAAGCGAAACGTCATGATCTTCGCGATCATAAGCGTCTACGACGTCCGGGCAATGGCACCTCAAACCCCCCACGAGTTCTCGGAGTTTGGGTATCCCCACCACTTCACTAGACATAGGATTAAATTCCGTTGACGGGCCCACAAGGCGTTCCACGTGGTAGTGGACGCCAGCATTCTCATCGAGGAGAGTCGGTAGTGAACGATGACAGACTTGCGATGCTCGTCGAGCGTTGGAGGATAAAGTGCGTCATCATCGGTATTTCGCGGATCATCCCTTCAAAGTCGTCTAACGCTGTGTAGAAGACCTTGAGTGCGTGGAGCACTTTGTGCACCGTCTGCCTCGCGTTGTGAAATATCGTTCTGTTGGAGCGGCTCCTAGCCGTCGAGCAAACAAATACGTCACTTTGTGTGACGATTGAGCGCCTTGCGCCACTGTTGATGGAGATTGTTGCACTTTGTCCTCAAAACCAGTCGCTGGTTCAACTTCTGAGGGCCGAGCGCATTTGGGCACCGATCTGGCACCAACGCCTCCGGGCTTTCTTGCGCCAGATCCCGGTACGGCTTAAGCAAGCCCACATAACACACAGGGTGGATGCGCATCCTTCTTGGAAGGTTCAGCGTATATGCAAGGGCTTGCTTTGCCACGACCTTAAAAAGTCCAATAAATTCGTAAACGGAGCTTCGTCTTAATGACAGCGGAAAGTTCGCTAGATCTCGCTTGACCAAGACCTTGAAAGGCTCAATAAACCTTGGTCGGTGCTTCGTCTTAAAGACAGCAGAAATGAATGTGTATGAACGTTTTTAGCATTCAATAAAACCAGATATCCGACTTCAATGTTCTTATCAATTAGTCTTCCTTTTTTATCTGCATATTCGCTCTTCATGTCGTGGCTTTCAGCCATTGCGTCGCGAATGTGTAGAATGTAACTCAGTCTGGTATACAGAAGTCTCCGATTTACGCACGTTTAGGGGGCTGACATCCTCTAGCCGCTCGACTTTCCCACCCCACCAAGCGCTGAGCCATGGTATTGCGGCATCAGCGGGACGCGAGAAGTAACAAGCCCGTTCACGTAGAACGGTGTGTAACCGGTAGATGAATGTACTGCATTGTTCAGAGCAAACCCTACGAGTGGCAACGTTGCACTACAGCACTCCGGCGTCTCCGCGCAGACGCTGCGAAGAACGTCTTCAACAACGCGATTCACACGCTCAGTCTGACCATCGGTCTGCGGATGGTCCGCTGATGACATTTTCAACGCGGTTTCAAACACCCTAAGATTGCCGATCAAAATTCCCAGTGAAGCATGGGTCTCTGTCCGAGACAAGTGACCCCGAGTGTCTATGTTGTCAAAAACACGATCTACAAACAGCGTCGCTGTACTCACACCGTCGATGGTGTCCGGCACTGCAGCAAGATGAGCTATCTTGATCAAACGATCCACGAAGACCACCACACCCGTGTTTCCCGCCAAGTCCGGCGGCAAGCCAAACACAAAGTCCATACTCATTAATTGTCAACACTCAAACTGGCCAGCGGGGCCGCCGCATTCGGAGAGGGTTTCACCCCCGACACGTCTCACACAATGCACTCGAGCACCGCTCTAAATGGACGATACGGCTCTTCTCATCTGTGCATTCGTTACTGCACGACTGTGGACGAAGATGTCGTTGAAGTATGTTTGCGCAAACGCCCGGTAGGGCCTATACATTTGCGCCGCAAGACCAGTAAATGTTGCTGGTACATTTGAAAACACTTGGGGCATCACCAGCCATACCCAGAGCATCCTGCTCGGAGCAGCCACCGCTGTCAGCGGAATATCACTCTCTCATGAACAAGTGGTAATACCCATCGACCAAGTCAAGTGCATTGCATTTTTTTGTAAAGCCAACCATATTGTTCTGGAGAACACTTGTCCTTGGAATCGGCGTCTGTACCGGAATGGTGTCAGCGTCGAACTTATTATAAACGTGAGAGATAGGCCACTTGCTGTTCGGCTTCCGGACACAAAAAGTGGGTCTCGAATGGGGATATTTTTTCTCACGCACCATTCCTGCTATGTGCTTCGCACAAACAAAGGTGTCATTGACGTCAAACTGCTCCTTGAACAGGTGCCATTGGCGTTTTACGCCGTAATTGGTTCCCGGAACTAGGTCGATCTCATGACGCACACCTCGGTCCAGAGTTAGGACCGTCGGCGGATTTTTGGGGTCGACGACTCGAGACTCCTTCACCAAAGGATAGTACGGATCCCAGGAATCTTTAGAATCGATGATCCAGTTCGTGCGTTCAGCTTTCTCTATGGGTTCTCCAAGACAGCTTCATCTAGATGTGACGACGAGTTAATCTCCTCATCTGGTCGTATAATGACCACCTCGGCTTAATCGCCTGCCTTCAAGGTACCTTCGAACTCTTCGAAGAACATCTCGTCCAGCTGAAAAAGAGCATTTACCGCGCGAATAGCCTCGAGGGTGACGTCACCGTCTTCCTTCCCAGTCATAGCGCTGACAAGGGTATATAGCTGTATGCTATCGTCTACGGTAGACACCCCCCGGGTCAGGGCCGATGCCGTGCGTCTTGCAGATATCATACAGCTTTGCCGTTCCTCTCTATAAAGATATTACATCTCATCAAGACCAGTAGGAACACGCACTTGGCATCGTCCAGTGTCACCACTCCCTGATCCATCGAAGCCTTGATGTTATAAACTGCGCTCGATGAAGAGCTGCTATCTCCGCAGTCATCGTCCACT